GGCAGGAGCCTCCTCGTTGACCGCAGGCCCTGCCCACGCGACCACTGAAGCACCAGGAGGCGCTGGGACCCAACGTGCCGACCGCGGCCGCGCTGATGGAAACGACCACTGCGACTGCCTACAGCAGGGGCCCGACCAGAAGAAACCTTCCACAAGAAACCCAACCCTGAGACCTCAGCATGTCCATCCAGTTTTGGTGTAAAAGCGTCACGCTTTCCATCGCAGAACTATCGAAACCCAAGAAACCCAGGGCACCCTGGAGGGAAGCAGGGTGTTTTTGTTGTCTGACTCTGCACTGAATATGCGCGGCCCCGACGATCCATCAACTGGAGCAAAGCCTGGGACTACTAGACCAGTGCCTGGGATACCTGGTCAGAAGTAGTAGGTAGGCAACCGACTGAAGCGGAAATGCGGGGCATTCTTCGTCGAAGGATGGAACACCATCTGCGACCAGCGGGACGGCAAAGGCATCCTTGATGACCTGAGATACGTCCATTCTGACATTCGTCGGCTCTGCTGGCACCGAGGAGTTGACATGGACCGGGATGGAGTCTGGCAGCGCCAGCGCCGTCGAAACGAGGACCTCGTGATGAGGGCCTAGGAAGACGAAAGGGCAGTGGCCCACACTGGAAAAGCAAGCGGCAAGCCGATCCCACATAGCCTGACAACGACCAAGCAAGGCCACGCCGGCCAAATCTACCAGGCCTATGATGCGCCTATCCGGATACCGCTCCAGCAAGGCCTGTAATCCGTGCCCGCCCCATGGGGAGCCGCTATGGTGCTTCCCCAGTACAGCGTTGCCCCCAGGTGGGCCACCTTCCGCTGGATGCGCGCCCGCCCCGGGCGATGCGCAGCCCTGCTTCCACAAGAAATCGCACCGGTTTGGTGCGTTCAGTTCTACCACGCGCTGTCCTCCCCGGGCGGTGCTTGGCCTGATTCCACAAACTGTTGCACCGATTCGGTGTTCTTCTCTCCTCTTTTTCCCCCTAACTGCCTGCCGGCCCCCCCCCTTTCCCCGTCCCGCCCCCGCCCCTGGCGCCACGCCACCTGGGCTATCCGGAACCTGGTTCCCCCTGGCCTCACGGCCCAAGTCTTGCCGCCCCGCCGTGCAGCCCCACGCCGCTGGCGCTGTTCGGCTGCGGGCCCACCCGGGCCTGCGCTCGGACGCCGCCTGTGCTGGGCTGCGGGACGCCGCCGCCCCGCCCGTCGGGGGTTTCCCGCAGGTGGGGCGCTCCTCCTCCCTTGCCCCCCCTCCCCTCTCCCTCCTGCGCCTGTGTCCGTCACGCCCCTCGCGCGCCGCCATGGCGCCGCTTGCTGCAGCTCCTGGCGCGCAGCCCTCCCCTGGTGGCAAAGCTTGCGGACACTGCGCTAGGGCGCATCACCCCAGCCTGACACCTAGCGTGGACAGCATTTTGCTGTCGGCGGTCCCATACCTGGACTCCGCAATTGCTTCACAGCTTGTTCTACCTCGTGCTGTGCATCGGCAGCGCCCGTGGGTGCACCGACGCCGCGGCCCGGCTGATGCCACGGCCCCCGCTGCCACTGCTGGCCGCGCCGGCCCACTCGACATGGAAGTCTTCCGCGTCTGAGTGCCCTCCGCCTCCTCCCGTCCGCCGCGGCCACTCTTTCTGTCTGAATGATCCATCCCCTCACGCACGCTGGCCAATTCGCGTATCGGTCGCCCAGATCGCTCTCCGCTGGTGCAATGTTTCTGCCCCGCCGCCGGCGAACAAAGTTGTGTATGTTGGACCGGAAACAAGCGACACCACCCGACCTACGGCCCCACGGGGCTAAGCGTACACCAACAAATCTGGCGTTGGTTTCTGCGTGGTATGCGCCTGCGGCACCCGATGGGCCGTAGCGCAACATGCAGGGGCGCAGGTGGGGTTGTGTCGTTTGTTTTCTGGTCGATGTGTGTTTGTGTGTGTGTGTGTTCCTTCCTCCTCATCGGCCTCCCCCCTCCCTCCTTGCACGCCGGCCAATTCGCTAGTTAGTGCCCATACCTAGCTAGTACGCTGGTGCTGATTTCGCCGCCTCGCCGGTGACAAAAAAGTGTGTGTGTGTGCCCTTGTCGGTGCACCGTGGTCGTAGTGCTTTCTCTTCTCCGTCTCGCCCGCCGAAACTTGAGACTACGCCCTCCTGGCCCTCGCCATCGCTCGGACGTCTAATCCCCGTGCATTGTTCGATTTCGTTGGTGTACATTTTCGCAAGATGCTCCAAGATGCTCCTCGATAGTTTTCGCCGAGAACAAATGCACACGTCCGAGCGATGCCAAAGGCATTGCCAGGCAAGCAGATGCACCGCTCCCGGGCCCAAGACGCACCTGGCTGGGGTGCGGTGGAATTATGCACAGATCTCGTCGCCCGAGACTTCCCCAAGGGTCCAATGGCTGTCCTGCCAGCTGCGCCAAACGCGCTGCCAGGTCCGTTGCATGGCATCGGTTTGACCTTTTCCTCAGAGGCCTCCCAAATGGGGTCCGACTGGATGGGGTCGGATGATCTCGCTGCATCGCCAATGCATCGGCGATGCACTGGCGACGTCAACGATGTATCGGCGACGTCGGCGTGGAGAAAACCGGCCTCCACATCGAGTTGCATCTTCGATGCATCGGCGATGCGGCGCGATCCACCGACCCCGTCTAGGAGGCCTGGATTTCCCCCTTCCTCGCGTTTGCTCGCCGACCAACCACGGAGACCACGACTTGTGCTTGATAGCGCACGTCAGAAGTGCGAGTGTGTGTGTGTGTGTGCGCGTGCGAGTGTGTTTGTGTAGGTATATGTGTGTGCGCGTGCGTGCGTGTGTGTGTGTGTGTGTGCGTGTGTGTGTGTGTTCGTGTGTGTGTGTGCGTGTGTGTGTGTGTGTGCGCGCGTGCGTGCCTGTGTGTGTGCGTGCGTGTGTGCGTGCGTGTGTGTGCGCGTGTGTGTGTGTGTGAATGAATGTGTGTGTGCTTGTGTGTGTGTGTGCGTGTGCGTGTGCGTGTGCGTGTGCGTGTGTGTGTGTGTGTGTGTGTGTGTGTGTGTGTGTGTGCACTCGTAGTGTGCTTGCCTGTGTTCGCGCATGCGGGTGCTTCACTTCATCCCTCTTTCGCTCATCGTCGCCTGTCCCTTACCCAGGATCTCACGGCTTCGCCTTGAGCGCAAACGATACAAACTGCTTTGCAATGTACATCACTGTATACCGTATGCCACGTGTTCGTGACTCACAGCGCCTCGCGCGCACGTCTGACCTTTCAAGTTTTCAGAGTCTCTGCGTTGGCCTTCTGTCCTCGGTTCCCCACAAGCACTGATCCAGCGTGTGCTCCCGCACGAGAGCGCCTAAGCCACCCACACGAATGCAAGACTGTCAAATGCGTGTTTCCGAGCAGCGTGCGAGCGCTGTGCATTTCGCTCTGGATCCATGATCCTGCCTCAGGCTCCGGCTGCTAATCCCCCTGCTTTCCCTCCTCGCCCTAATCATGCTCCTGTTGCGGTTGCTTATGCTGCTGTTGCGTCTCATGCTGCCCCTCCTTCGCCTCCTCCTCCTCCTTGTGATGCTGCTCCCCCGATATACGCAAATATATTTGAAATCGTATGGATTGCCAACGTGTTGCCAACAGTCCTGCGGGACAGCAAAATGCGGAATATGCAATTCCAATGTCAGTGGAATGTTCGACCACTCCCGAACGCTGAGCACTTCGAACCAAATACGCTTCCTCTTTTGGTTGCAACGCATGTGCCATGGCTGAACAAAACGCGGCACAACGTCAAACTAAAACTCTTCCTTCCCCGGCATGGTTGCGCGGTGCCACCGCCAAATAGCAGCTTACGGCTGTTCGGGCTGCGCGCAGACAGCCCCCCCATGTGTCCCAGCTGGCCTTTGCAGGGATCCCGAGTAGCCCAGGACGGCTTCAACATCTCAGAGGCGCCGCCAGAGGCGGCGCCGAGGTAGGTGTTGAGACCGCCTCGGGCTGCTCGGGGGGGGGGGTGCCTGCCGAGGCCTCCCGGAGCGACTGTGCGCAACACGAAGCCTCATCAAGCGTCTGCATGCTCCCAACCCCCCTCTCAGGTCAGCGTTCGGAAGCCAGGCGCAGGCTGGCAAACCCGGGGCTGCTGAAATGGAGCTCCGGGAAAGTGTTTTCTTCTTCTGGGAAACAGCCCGTTTACGATTTAGCGCGCTGAGCTTTCTTCGGGGACTTTGGTTCTGTCTTCCGGGAAGACCGTTTCAGCAGCCACGGATTTGCCAGCCCTCGCCCAACTTCCGAAGCGTGCCTACCTTGTGATGCGCCAGCGCAGCCTTCTCCGTCTTGCCTCTTGTTCTCACTGCCTCCTGGCTCCCCCTCCTCCGCCACCGCTGCCCGTCTCCGCCTGCCCGCGTCCAGCTCTGGCGCGACTGCACCGCCCAGGCAAGCGCGACTGCATGATTCCGCCCCCTCCAAAAGTAGCGCTGCCGCAGCTCTCTGGACCTCTTCTGAGTTCTGATCAGGATCTCGAGGCGAATCCGGCAGTGGCGACGAGGGCCTCCCGGAAGGCCCCAGAAGGGGAAACCGAAGGACGGGTAGCAGTATGGGTACCTTGGAAGATGTACGGACCCGGGATTATGCACACCCGGGTCAGTCAGTCCTAGCAGGATCCTGCAAGATCCTGCAGGATCCAACAGGAACCTGCACCCAAGTCCAGGTCAGTGCACCCGTGGCTGTGCAGGATCCTGCAAGATGTGGCGCTGTGACTGACCCCCGTTTGCATTGACCCCCGTCGCTTGAGCCCCGATACCTTCGAGCGCGAATTGATGGGGGGCGATAGATGGGGGGAAGAAGGGAAGCTATTTCGAGCCCTGAAGGCCCCCCTCTGGGTCCGAAGGACCCCTTCCGGAGCCCCAAAGGGACCCTTTTCGGCAGCTCTCGCTGCCCACCCCCAACACTCGCTCCTTGATTACGCGTCCTCTGATACCTGCTCCTCCTCTGACCTCTGGTCGTGCCGTCCCGCCCCCCGCAACGCGCCCTGCGGGGCAGAGGAGCGGCGGACTTCGGGGGAGACGCTGCGGCGTCGGCGCCAACCGGCTCGGAGCCCTCCGCCTCGCCGCGGTGGCGGCGGTGTGCGTGCACAGGATCAACAGGTGCCATCAAGTCCTGCCTTCACCGTGCAGAAAGGGCCTGTCAAAGCCTTCTGGGTCCTCACCCTTAGGAGGCAACTACTGGGAGGTCTTCGTCGGAAGGATTCGGGAGGATGAAACCCCTTCGTGGGCCGCTGCACAGGATTAGGACGTGGATTCAGCGGGATTAAACAGGATCAGCCGCATTTCGGACCAAGGCAAAGTCAGAATCTGACCTCGCAGACATTGCACGCGAAAATGGGGTCCGTGTAAGGAAAGCCTGTCAACCCTGCTGGGTCCTCACCTCAAAAGCTCACCGTGGTCGGCCGCTGCCCCTCCCACCGGCACTCCCGCATTCTCGCACGCGGCTGAAACATCACCCACCACGTGCTGGCCCGAAACTAAGGAGGGGTCCATAGGAAGGGGGCTCCCGCCTGAGAGTTCCTCGTAATTCACTCACAGACGAGGCTCCCGCCTGAGACTTCCTAAGATGAGTGAGTAGTGTGCGATGAAGATGATGATGATGCTGATGATGATGACGACGACAATGATGATGATGATGCTGATGGTGATAATGACGATTATGCTGATGATGATGATGATGACGCCGATGTTGACGATGATGGTGATGATGTTGAGCATGATGATGACGATGCTGATGGTGATGACGATTACAATGATGATGACGATGATGATGTCGATGATGCTGGTGGTGATGATGATGATGTAAATGATGGTGATGATGATGCAGTTGATGATGATGACGATGCAGCTGGTGATGATGATACTGATGCTGATGATGATGATGTCGACGACGGCGAGGACGATGATGACAGCGGCATGATACTGGAAATGATGATGCTGATGATGCTGATGGTGATGATGATGACCATGCTGATGATGTAAATATGCTGATAAGTAATTCCATGATGATGATGACGATGCTATGATGATAATGGCGAGGGAGTTTCGGTCGTGGTGGCATTGTGATATTAGTGACGATGATGCTGGTGATCGCGATGGAGACGATGGTGTGGTGATGGTGATAGTGATGAAGGTGATGATGGTGATGATGGTAATGAGGATAATGATGATGATGATGATGATGATGATGGTGATGCCGATGGTGATGATGATGATGCTGATGATGATGATGATGATGATGATGATGATGATGATGAGTTGTTGTTCCACTGGTGCACACATGAGAGAATGTGTGAGTGAGTGCGCGAGTGTGGACAGACGTTGATGATTATGATGCTGATGCTGATGCTGATGCTGATGCTGATGCTGATGTGCTGATGGCGATGATGGTGGTGTAGAAAAGAGGTTGAGGGGGAGATCCTGCGGCGAGTGTGTGTGTGTGTGCAGAGAAAACACAAACCCCACTTAAATATGGGGAGCGAGAACGCCACTTTGGATATGGGGACTAGTGTACGATTAGTGTGTGCGGCGCCAGGCCCAGAGTCCAATTTCGAAAACAAGCTATCCCTGTAGCAGCTGCCAAATGTTTAAGACGAGGGCTCGCGGCGCTGAAGCAAGAACCCCCTTTCGAAAACATGACGCGTCCGTGCTTCTGAACCCGCTCGGAAGATCACCCACGCAGCGCTTCTGCAAGCGTGGCAAGCGCGGACTCCACGGTCAAGAACTCATGCAACGACGGCGTCTATGCAGCGAAGCCGCGCTGCACTCGCGACGAACGCCGCCCTGCAGGAGAAACAACCTGCCGTTGCTGAATACATCGGAAGCACTGACCCCAGCTGCCCGGGGCCTCGCATCGCAGAAACGTCACAGGAGCGTATGGGGTCCCATCGTCCATCGCGCGTTTAGCGTTAGGTCGGGCGTGTCCCTCTACAGGTCGATTTTTGAAGAAAAATTAAGCAAAGTCAAAAATAGCTACAATAGTCAAAAAGTCATCCCCTGACGATTTTCCAACTATTTTTGCATAAGGCTCCCGTAGAAACAGGTCAGATTTAAGCGTAGCGAAGTAAAATCAATCAACGCCGACACGAAAGATCGGACCAAGCCGCATCGGCAAGGAGTCGGAATCGAATCGGATTGGCAGCGCCGCCAAGACGCACAAGAGCGCCATGCTAGCAACGGTTCGGCCAGGATGGTCGGAGGATCAGAATCGAATCGGATCGAGCCAGCTAGAGCCGATCTAGAATCGGGTCGATGGGATCGGAATGGACCCTGCGAAACGATCAGCATGCACATCGAATGCCCGCGGCCACCATTCATTCAGTTCGGCTCCCCAAGCAATTTGCCCAAATGACGAACACTGACTGGTCAGCCCCAGTGGCCGCCGCAAGGAACTTGCTGCCAACCACTTCTTACGAAGGAACTCTCGCACACTCGCCCAGATGTGGTGCCATCTCTTGCAGATCAGCTGAGGTCTCGCCCTCATGCACACGAGAGAGGGAAGTAATGCGGCAAGAACGGCATGATAATTAGGTCGGGCATGCCCCCCTTCAGGCGGATCTTGGACGACAAATACACAATATGTAAACACATGACAAACAATTTTTGTCTGATAAAAAACCTCCCCATACTATGTTTTGACTATCTTTAGATATTCCTCCTGTAGCGGGACAGGCCCGACTTAACATTATACGAGAGATGCTGGCGAACCTCCTGACCACGCTTCTCCACTGCCCTGTGACAGTGAAAGTGGCACGCCGCTGTCGCCAGTCAACCTATAAGCACGATCGCGATCCACAGATTGTGGGCTGAGAAGTACTCTTCTGGCCGTGAGTGCAACCAGAGCATTTCACTGAGATGCTCTAGTTCATGCCTTGGTGCCAATTGAACCTTATCATTGCAACGAGCCCGCTCAAGAACTCTGGCATGCTCTACCGCACTCACTTTGGAAGCGGCTCTCGGGAAACAATGATCTTTCACAGATGCTCGCTGGTGCACACCGTGTGAACCATTGACTGTGGCGGCCAGGTGAATCCAAGGAAATATCTCATCCTCCTCCTCCTCCTCCTCCGCCTCCTCCTACGTGCACCCTCCCATGTTCGAATGCGCAGCAAAAGGCGGGTCAAATCCTGGAGCAACCGTTCGGGCAGCAAGGTCCTCCAGGACACCCCAGCTGGCGGATAGGAGGACTCGGCATCGTGGCAAGGGATGGGTGGGATGGGCTAGGACGTCAGATGTGGCGCGAGCAAGCCCGGCTTGCCCCTCCCCTCATCAAAGGCCGCCAACACGGGGCCGAAAAAGATGGTGTCGAAAGGTCGCGCTCTATCGCCGGTGCGCCGCCGATGCGCGCGATGCATCGGCGACGTCCGCGTGGAGAACATCGGGATCGTCATCGATCAGCATCGCCGATGCATTACCGACGCGGCGTGATCCACCAACGACCCCATCCGCCTCGACCCTACTTGGGCCCTCTCCTTCCCAGAAACCTGACGTTGCGAACATTTATCCTGCTGAAGTGGAGGCTGCGGTGTCATGCGGGGCCTTCGGAGGAACTCCCTGTGGGACCGCGAAACATGTTAGGGGTGCGCCGAAATGGAGGCGGTGGTGTCATGCGAACCCTGCCACTGGGGCCTTCGGCATAACTCCTTCTGTGGCCATGAACGGTGTGAGGGGTGCGCCGAAATGGAGGTGGCGATGCCATGCGAACCCTGTGGCCTCCTTCAGAGCTCCCTATGGGGCCACGAAACGTGTGAGTAGTGTGCTGAGGTGGAGGCGGCGGTGTCATGCGAACCCTGCCACTGGGGCCTTCGACGGAGCTCCCGATGAGGCTACGAAGCGTGTGTGGGGTGTGCCGAAATTTATGGGGGGACGCATGGATGAGGAGGATGGGATGATTGGATGATGGTGGTGATGGGGGAGGGAGGAGGGGGAGGAGGAGAGGAGAGGAGAGGAGAGGAGAGGAGAGGAGAGAGGAGAGGAGAGGAGAGAGGAGAGGAGAGGACACGGGGCGCAGTCTCTTCAAAGCGAGGACCCACCATCACAATTGGTTGGGACAAACTGCAGCATCGGGAACATTCGCGACCGCAGCCCTGGACCCCATCTTTCTGCGCCGTTTTTCTGTCCAGACCGATCTGTGAGGGTCCTGGGGCTCGAAGCCGGGCGGAAACGCACGTCGTGAAACAACTGCCAATGATGATAATGATGATAACAACAATGATGAAGCTGATGATGATGATGCTGATGCTGATGCTGATGATGATGATGATGCTGCTGCTGCTGATGATGATGATGATGATGAGGAGGAGGACTTGCGAAGGGCAGAGGCAGGGGTGGGAGGAGGGGGAGGGCAGCGGGAGGATGGGAGGAGGAAGGAGGGGGATGAGGAGAGGAAGGACGGACGGAAGGAAGGAAGCAAGGAAGGGAGGAAAGCACGCAGGGCACTGCCACTTCCAAACGAGGATCCGACACCACGGGATGGCTCGGGAAATTGCAACGCCAGGATCTCGGGGTCCCCCCCCCCGCCCTCCGCGTCCGACCCCTGGGCGGCAGGGCCCCGAACCTTCGCCTTGGCCTTGGCCTTGGCCTTCGTCTTCGCCTTGGCCTTGGCCTTGGCCTTCGCCTCCGGGGAGGGCGCCTCGCCCGCGGCCGCGCGCGGGTGTCGGGGGGCGGCGGAGGGGTGGACCCAGACCTCCTCAAATCACGAAGCAATGAGGACTGACAATCTTCGGCAAGTATCTGCGTCCGGCAGCCCTCACTCGCCCCTGGGACTTTCGAAAACGGCCCAGTCTGGTAAAACTAATCCTTGGGGAAGGTCCCGAACCCGGAGAATCCACGTTCATCTAGAAAACACGACTGCGGAGTCCTAAGAATTCTACAAGGTGCTACAAAATCGCCACGACGAGGCGACACCCAATGGGTGGCGCACGTGTTGCTTACGACGCCAAGGGAGGGAGGGAAGAGGAGGGCAGGAGGGGGAGGGAAATATGGAGGGCTGGGAGGAGACAGGCAAGAGGTGGAGAAGGGAGGGAAGAAGGAAGGAGGGATGTGGGATGGAGGATGCAGATGGGGAAAATTGCTGGAAGAGTTGCTTAAAGACGACGCTGTCTCGTCTCTGGAGCTCACAGAAGGATTTTAGCCTCAACGCCAGCTCAACCTGAAGCGCAACTGCAATGATGGCTGGAGGTCGCCGCGAAGAACCGCGAGGAGAGAGCCTCGCATCGAGCCACCGCCGGCCCCATGGGTCTGGTGGCAAAGGGCCTGCGCACACACGTGACACAAAGCCATACGGGTGGCCCCGCGGCTGGGGAAGGACAGTGCGAAGAAAAAGCATGAGTCAAAATCCGATCCGATGTCTCCGTCCTCCCTCGCGTGGCTGCTGAGACCAACCGCCTCGAGGAGACGCGAAAGCTTCGCAACAAAGCGGCGAAGCTCACGGGCGGGCGTGATGGACGGCCTCCGCGCCAAGCCTTTTCAGCGTGCCTGGAAAGATTCTCGTTGCAGACCTTTCCCAAACCAGCGGGTCTAGATCCAGTGCTGTATTACCTGCGTTTCATGCAGGCAAGCCCGTCACTGCAGGAACAAGCCAAAACGTTGTGGCCCAAGGCGACAATGACTCCCTCGTCTAACTTGCTTTTGCCCGAACAGTGGCCTGGCTTAGGCTCCTCAACACATCTACTCCCAAGGAGGCAAACCCTGAACCGCCAAATGTCCGACCAAGGAACCCAATCATGGCACTGGCGGTCGTGAGAAAGCTCGGGGGCCAACAGGATCTGAGGGATGAGTCGAGAAACCACGCTTTGCGGCAATGTCAACATCATTGTTACAATTCCTGCAAACATGTTCGCGCTGGCTGATGCCATTCTCTTCGAGAACCTGATGGGCATCAACGTTATGGTTCTCCAGCTTTGATAACACTTCAAATATACACACGACTAACAGAGATACGCTCTGGTTCGCGGTAAATTGGAATGCTTGACCACATCCAGACAATCAGAATACAGAGTGGATGTGCGCTTGGCCATCGCGTCTATGCTTGTGGATGCCATGACAATGGGCACCCTAACAGTCCTATCATTGAATTACACATGTGCTTAAAATATTTGAAACATGTTCTAAATGACCCGCGACACCTCACTGCGTTCAGTGACCGCGCGCCGAAGGCAAGACCCGTCGAGAAGCAGGTGAGCCCAAACCGAACAATCCCGGGAAGCTTCGATCCCCTAAAGGCCCCTCTGGGCCTCACTGTGCCAGCCGAGCTGGACACAGCCCTCCAGACACGACCTGGAAAGCTGGGCGGCGGGGTGGTTCCGAATCGTTCTTCAGCCTTAGCGTCCAAGGCGGCCGGAATGATCCAATCCTTAACAAACTCCCTACGCAGCGCGGCAACGAAGGGGCAGATCCACTGGTGGTGATGAAGATAATATAAGCCGCCACAGTGAGCGCATCTCGGGCTGAGGCCATACCCACACCGAATCACAAGATCAGGAGCCCAGGTCGCACAGCACGCCAAGGCCTTTCTCATGCCCTTCTCAATGGGCGTGAATACCTCAGAATTCAACGCAGCTCTAGGAATACCCAAGCACGGGCTACCCTCATCTTTCCACTTGCTTCCAAAAACACTTCCCAAAAATCCAATCGGTGCCTCGCGACAGAAGATGGCCTACAAAACAGGACCGGTCACCTCCAGCGGGACGTCGCAATCCCGATCATCCGCAGTGGGTATGAATCGAGTAGAGGGATCGACTACAGAACTGATTTACCCCAGAATTCTTTTCGTCGAATGTACAACAAATGCGTCGAATGCTCCGTGGATCTATCGAGCATTCCATGTATTTGTGCTTGGATTCGGCGGAACAATCAGTTCTAGGGAAACGCAATTCTGTAGTCGACCCCCTTCCCGAATAACAAGGGCTCCCAACTTCGCGCTTCGCGAAGCGAGAAATGCGAATAACTTCGTGCTCTCGCACCGCCTCCCAAGGGAGAAGAGGAGGATGAAGAGGAATCGAAGCCGAACCGCGAAGCGCGAAGAACTTCTCGCCCTTGAGCGCGTCCTTGAATAACAAGTTATTCTCTGACAACCAAGCTTGAACAAAGGGAGTCCGAGCGCCGAGATCGGACCTCCCAACACGGCCCACGTGAACCTGGGGAGGGCCCGGACAGCGGTCCGACCCTCGCCAGGCTCTCTAAGCAAGAGGCCGCGGGGAAACGCGCGCGCCTTCGCCAGCCAAATTCCACGAGAGACGCACACATTCGTCGATCCCCAGTGGAATGCACAAAAATATAGGATGTTGGGGGGGGGGGGAAAGACGAACATTCAGAAAATATGGACAACTATGCGGACTCCTGGGAGTTGTGTCAATTTATGCGTGTGTGTGTGTGTGTGACCCTGGGCAACCTTAAAATTGCCTCGCCCCACAAGGATGGGCGCGCGCGCTGCCCTCAAGGTGGGATCGCCAGCAAGAGTGCAGCACGCAGTGAAGCTTCTCGGCTGAGCAAAAGGCCTACCCTGAGAGAAGGCCTGTGCGCGCATCAAAAATACATCAAAATCATAATCCCCGACGATGTCGGTTCCGGAAGCTCCTCCCGCTAACCGACCCGCAGCGAAAACGCAAAGGTGCTTCCGACCCTGGGTGCCTGCGAACTTCTCGAGCATCTTGGGCCTCCTACACATCTGCGCCACCCGAGCCTTGAATTTGCTGAATATGCCCGAGACCCTCACATATTCCCGCTGTGAAGTCGACCCCCAAGTTGACCGCAGCATTAACAATCCTGCCAACAAGAGACCCGACATGACTGACAACCTTACTCGAAGAAACCGTGCAAACTTTCTCAAGCGGGAAGCCAACCCAGCACTTCAGAGACAACGGCGCGCAGGGCCTGAGGACCAACCACAAGCGAGGAGGGTGACGCGAGAGCGAGGACCCATGGATGAGAAGTTCCAATCGTCAATGTGGATGTCAAGCGAAAGGTTTGGCAAACTGGGGATGGCTTCAAAGACACCCATCGCGAACGCTCGGACGAGGGCAACGGCGAAAGAGCAACCCGCCATCCGCCGCCCCCTCGACCAAAAAACTGACCCATGAGGCTGCCACCCAAGGATAGGAAGCGCCCGCAGCGAGCAGCAAATATACGAAGGCGAGCAATCGGGACAGGCAAGTCGTGCTCAATGCATATGGCCATAGAAAAGTTCAGGCCGATAGTCGGATCATACTTTGAGCATGCGGGAAGACATGCTGCACGACACATCCTGCTTGGGAATGCCGTGCTCAGCCCGAACGCTCTGCCCCCGGACGACATCCGGAGCGCCGCGGTTCCCAACAGCGACCCAACATCGACGGGGGCGCTTCTGCTCCCAAGAGAGGGCGGCAGAGCCACCCCCGAACCCCACACCAGGAGCAGAACACCCTTGATCGGTCTGTGGTCACCAACGGGTTTCGCTACGAAGGCAAATAAGATGGCACTAAACGCAAACGTGCCCAGAGCTTCGTCACAAAGATACCGATAGCGCCGGCAATGGAACCCGTCGTGGGCCACCGCTGAACGTGTGTCCTAAACACCTCGGTGCCAACGCGCGGGGAACGGGGGGGTGGGCCCCACGGGAGCAGGGCCCCAGTCGGCCCCAGGGCCCTCGGCCCAAAGGCAGAGAACTTGAACCCCCCCGCCACCATGAGAGCTAAAGGATCAGAAGCAGCACACGCCGGTCGGAAGAAGTAGGTAAAAGCATGAAGCAGGAAGGCGGATCAAGTAGATTGGGTTCAGGCTCTCCCAGATAATAAGAAAACACAATACAAGCATATCGATTATTGAAGAAAACAGGCGCTTGAAATAGATTTGGATCGGGGAATCCAGAAATACCTACTTTCAACGACCGGCGTGTAGCCCCATCCGCAGGCAGAGTCGTTGTCGCTTTGCAAGGCTGAGGGCCGCAGGTGCGCATGGCAACCCTCTTGGCGACGCCTTCGTCGATGCCAGAGCGAACCCGTGGTTGCCAACTCTGATAGGGGGATCTTGACATCTGCCCCAATGCAAAGTCGGAAAGGTAGAGCGGCTATGCGCTCCCCTATAGAAGCAAGGATGCCCATGTTCCTCTCGGGCAGACAGCAAACGGGGCATCCCTGGGCTAATTGACCGCTCCAGCCGCGGCCCCTCCTGGCACAGCCTCCGCTCCCCACCCCCGCGGAGCTCATACAGGCCAGTGAGATCATGGGCCGCAGACGTGCAATTGCCAGCGGACGTGAAGCAAGCCACCGTAAAGTCCGCGGAGATCAAGATACATGTCCCCCCGCTGCGAGCGCCCCGCGCAGACGCCTGGCAAACGGTCCCACCAGCCCTCGGGCAAGTGCTCTTGGCACGAGAGTTACGTGGGCAAGCGCTTGAGCCAGCGACTTCTGCATCGACGACCGCTGGTTACAGTTGACGGCGTGCACGCACAACTCAAGAGAGCCCCATGGGGACCCGGACAGAGCCCTCGTGGCCCGAAGCCGAGCCCGAGAAAACGAAGCTGACCAGAGGAGGGGGCCTGGGGCCACTGATGCACTCGGCGGCGCTGCGCGGGCGATCTGTAGTTTGTATTTGTCTTTGTTTGTTACTCCCGTGCGTGTTGACTGCAGTGCAATCGGGTGCCTACGCAGGCCGGCGAGGGTGGGGGAGGAAAAGAGAGAGAGAGAGGGGTCAGGCACGCGGCGGGCTCACGTGCGAGCGCCGCGCGCCACCATAACCAACGCAGGCTGGGCACTGCACGGGCGAGCGAAGCCAAAAGAAGTGGCTTCGACTGACGGCGGGCTGCGCGCTCGCTCCTGCGCGCCAGCACCTCCAGAGGCCCACGCTGCACCTCGCTCTCCTCCAGGGGTGCTCCGCAGCTCCTCGGAGCGTCTCCGTGTAGCGCTTGAAAGACTGACTCGTGAGGCAGGCGTGGGGGTACTGGCAGCGGAGCGGCCGAGGCGCTTGCAATGGCAAAAAACGCACCCAAAGACGATTCGACATCACTGGATCGGGTTGATCCCACCCCCCCGCGCCAGGGCGTGCTTTAGACTTTATTTAAGATGTGCGGACCCTCCACTGCCATTCCGCTGTCGCCCTCTCGCCCTGACCTGGCTCGAGGCTCCAAGCGCGACGCCGGGCTCTGAAGACAGGCGCGGCACGCGGCACGGGAAGCGGCTGGCGTTCCCCTTCCGGCCTCCTCTCGCACGTCCTCCCTTTGTGGGCGAATAACACATGCGTATCCACGGCCTCGTGACCCCGCGGATACGGGGCGTCTTCTGGCGGAGGCCCCGCGCGGAACATCTCCGTACGATCGCGTATCCGCGGGATCGCTCCACAGAATCATGACCGCGAGGGATCGGATATCCTGCCTCCCCTGGAGAGCTTCAGAGATCTCCAGAGGCCTGGGACTAGGGGGGCAAGCAGTGACACAAACAGAAAAACTCTGAGGTCCGCGCGGACTCCGCGGATCGGCGCTGGACCCCTCTCCCTGGCGCGCGGAGCGCGCCAGGGGCGGCGCCAAAGGCGCCGCCGAGGGGGCCCGGACCTCCGAGTGTTTGTGTTTATGAATTGATTGGTCCCTTCGGGAAGGGCCAGAAGCACCCACATAATTAGGGGGGCACACGCAATACCTACACCTTCCCCTCACGATTTCTGAGGGGGAGAGTGGGGTCCACTGCTCCCGAGCGAAGAAGACCCCACCCTCCCCCTCATAAATCGTGGGGGGTATGGGTAGGGTTCGCATGTGGCCCCCGAATATTGGATGCCTAGAAATGGGCACCAACACCAACACCGAGGGTTGCCTCCACCAGGGGAAGATGATCCTAGATCTTGGTGTTGCTGGTAATCTTTCGGCCACCTTGGAAGTCCGAATATTGCCACCATCACCGAGATCGGGACCATCTTCCCTCGCTGGAGGCGCATCCCTGGTAGTGGTGCTGGTGTCAACCTCTAGGCCTCCGATAATTATCCCGACCTTGGTGGTGCTTAGGCGCGGGCTTTGGTGCGTTTGTTCCTTTGTTTCGGCCTCCTGTGGTCCTCCTCCCCAGGGGGGGGGGTCCCAGGAGGGAGTCCTTTTCCTCCTCCTTCTCCTCCGCCTCCTCCTTATCTCCGCCTCTATCTCCTCCTCCTCCTCCTTCTCATCCTCCTCCCCCTCCTGGTCGTCGTCGATGTCTTTCAGGGTCGGCGGCACCGGCCGTCAGGCCTTCACAATCATCTCGACCTTGGTGGTGCTCAGGCGCGGGCTTCGGTGCGCTCGATTCTTCTTGTCTCGCCAGGCTGGCAGAGGCAGCACATCTCCCTCCCGCGGCGGCTCGGCAGTGGGGGCCCACAATCGGCGGTGGACAAACCTGCCTTCAATAAACCTCCCTTTAGTGAAAACGGCCTAAGACCGAACCCGACGGACCTGGATCCGCAAAAATGACGGCCGCGACGCCCTCTCGCGAACCGAAAACAGCCAATTCGCTAATCGACGCGTCCGGAGGTCTATCAACCTCCGACAAAAAGCACAATCGTCGAAGCGAAGCCAAGCCATCCCCGAGCCCCGAAAGACGACCCTCGGTCCTGGCGGCGGGGACGGGCGGAGGGGGCCGCCTGCGGCGGCGGGGACTGCTGCGGCGGCGGCGCCTGGGTTGGCGCCGTCGTCATCATCGTCATCGTCATCGTCATCGTCATCGCCATCGTCATCGCCATCGCCATCGCCATCGCCATGGTCACCATCATCGTCATCGTCCTCATCCTCATCCTCATCAGCATCAGCAGCATCATCAGCAGCAGCATCAGCATCAGCATCATCATCAGTAGCATCAGCATCAGCAGCAGCAGCAGCAGCAAGAGCAGTATCATCATCGTCGTCGTCGTGGTCGTCGTCATCGTCGTCGTCGTCGTCGCAGGGAGGGAAGGGATTTTCACCTAAGTGTTCGGACATCTTGGGACGCTTGTGGGCATCCGGGGGCCTCCGAAGCAGCTCTCCCTTCCTCTTCCGCCCCTGGGCCCATGCGGGAAGGCACCCTGCTGGGACGACGCTCCGCCTGCACCCCTGAAGATGCGGCGAGGGAGGATCATTTACAGGGGGAGTGGGAGGCCGGGATTTGTGCAAATTCACCGCTTGGAAGCCTGGCCCCACGGCCCCGAGTACGGGGAATGGCCATATGGCTACGGGGTCCCGCACCTCAGGAGGAGGGCAGGAAGAGATCCTCCTCGAGGAAGGCCTCCTCCTTCTCCTCCTCATCTTCTCCTTTTGCCCCTGCTGCCTCGTCCCCCCATCTCCTCCGCCTCCCCCTCCTCTACCTCCTCCTGCTCCTGCTCCTGCTCCTGCTCCTGCTTCTCCTCCTCCTCCTGCTCCTGCTCCTGCTCCTGCTCCTGCTCCTGCTCCTCCTCCTCCTCCTGCTCTACCTTCTCCTCCTCCGCCTCCCCTTCCTCATCAATATCATCCTCGTCCGTCTCCTCCCTCCTCCTCCCTCCTCCTCGTGGTCCTTTGTCGACGGCCACCATTGCCTCCTTCCCTTCTCCGCCCTCCTACACTTCCCTCGATCTCCCGTCCCCCGTCTCTCCGTGCAACTGAATCTACTCCTCATCCTGCTCCCCGTCCTCGGTCCTCCCTCCTCCGCCTCCTCCTCCGTCGTCCTCCTCCACCTCCTCCTTCCTCTCCTTCATCTCCTCCTCCTCCTCCTCGTCCTCCCCCTCCTCCTCTTCCTCTTCATCCTCCTCCTCTTCCTCCTCTTCCTCCTCCTCGTATTCCTCCTCTTATTCCTCCTCCTCCTCCTCCTCATCCTCCTCCTCCTCCTCCTCCCTCATCCTTTCCCTTCTCCTCCTCCTCCTCCTCCTTCTACTCCTCCCCGTCCTCCTTCTCCTCCTCCTCCTCCTTCTCCTCCTCGTCCTTCTCCACGTCCGCGGTCCTTTGTCGTCGGCCACCGCTGCCTCCTTTCCTTCGCCGCCCTCCTACACTTCCCTCGTTCTTCCGTTCCACGTCTCCCGGTGCAACTACAACTACTCCTCTTCCTTCTCCCCATGCTCGGTCTTCCCTCGTGCGCCTCCTCCTCCGTCGTCCTCCTCCACCTCCTCCTTCCGCTCATTCATCTTCCCCTCCTCCTCCTCCTCCTGCTCCTCCTCCTCCTCCTCGTCCTCCTCTTCCTCTTCCTCCTCCTCCTCCTCCTCCTCCTCGTTTTCCTCCTCCTCCTCCTCCTCCTCCTCCTCATCCTCCTCCTCCTTCTCATTCACCTTCTCCGCCTCCCCCTCCTCCTCCCCCTTCTCCTCCTCCTCCTTTTCCTCCTCCTCCTCCTTCGTGGTCCTTTGTCGTAGACCACCGTTGCCTCCATCCCTTCTCCGCCCTCCTCGACGTCCCTCGTTCTCCCGTCCACCGTCTCACCGTGCAACTAAATCTACTCCTCATCCTTCTCATCGTCCTCGGTCCTCCCTCCTCCGCCTCCTCCTCCGTCCTCCTCCACCTCTTCCTTCCTCTTCGTCATCTCCTCCTAATCCTCCTCCTCCTCCTCCGCCTCGTCCTCCTCCTCCTCCTCCTCCTCCTCCTCCTCTCCTCCTCCTCTTGCTCTTCCTCCTCCGTTTGCTCCTCCTCCGCCTCCTCCGCCCCTTCTGCCTCCTCTGCCTCCTCCCCCGCCTCCTCCGTCCCCTCCTCCTGCTCCTCCCCGTCTCTTTCCCCCTCCCCCCTTCCTCATCCTCCTCCACCTCCTACTTCCTTCGTCCTCCTCCTCCTCCTCCTCCTCCTCCTCCTCCTCCTCCTCCTCCTCCTCCCCCTCCTCCTCACCCCCCTCCTCCGCCTCATCAGCATCAGCATCATCAGCGTCAGCATCATCACCAACAGCAGCATCATCAGCATCATCAGCGTCACCACCAACGACAAAATCATCAGCAGCAGCGCCGTCATCATCAGCGTCAACAGCAGCAGCATCACCATCATCATCATCAGCAGCAACATCAGCGTCATCACCATCATCATCATCGTCGTCATCAGCATCAGCATCACCATCATCATCATCATCATCATCATCAGCAGCATCATCACCATCACCATTACCATCACCATCATCATCATCATCATCATCATCATCATCATCATCATCAGCATCATCATCAACATCCTCATCCTCATCACCATCATCATCACCATCAGCATCATCGTCAGCGTCGTCAGCAGCAGCACCAGCATCAGCATCAGCATCACCATCGCCATCAGCACCATCATCAGCAGCATCAGCAGCGGCATCGTCAGCATCATCCCTCCTACTTCTTCTTCCGCCTCCCCTCTCGCCCCCCAACGCACCCCGCTGCCCGCTGGGGCCTGAGAAGAGATGACCAAATCCCTCCGAACACCTCGACCTCGAATCCCCTGTCCCCGTTCTTGATCCACTGTCCTCGATCCCCCGGGCCCCTGCTGCCGTTGCCGACCCGCATCAAGGGGGGGGGGAGGAGCTGCGCGCATTGCTCCCCAAGCAGTGTTTGCCCTCAGGGGTTCTTGCTTGCGTTGCTTTTACGCGGCGGAGGGGTGCTATGGCTCTTTGGGATGTGTTGTCACACGTTTTCGGATTTGCGTGTGTACAGATGTGTAACAGTCGACGACGGATGTGTCGACAACCAGATGTCCGCGTCGTTCCTCCCACGTCCTGGCCACTGTGTTCGCCTCCCCCTCCCACCCCCTCTTTTCGTCCACCGCGCTCCCCCCCCCCTCCCCCCATCGCCCCCCCCCCTCCGCGCCTCCCAAGCGGGAGGTGGAGGGGGGGGGGGGGGAGGAGGAAGAGGAGGAAAAAGGAAGAAGAAAACGAGAAGGACCAGTGTAAATCTAGGAGTGACCAATGATGTTAGAATGAATCGTCCCTCCAAGCTCCCTCCTCATAGGCCCCTGCACGGGTGTATTGCCCCGTTTGCAGACCCTGACGCATGCCACAACATCGTTCTCGGGATTCTAGCGACGCGGATCAATCTGATTGTTGCGCCTTGACGACCCTGAATATTACCAGAACGCCAGTCCTGGAAACCCAACGCCCCGATCAACGTAACTGCTGCACCCTCAGAACCATTGACAATACAATTTGTGATACGCTGATCATGGGAAATGAAAGCGAAAGTGCACGGTGCTGAGATCAGAACCACATGTTGAAAAGGAACCGCCGTCAATATGTGAAACCCTGGCATGTTTAGAATTGAGTGCACTCGGCGCTGAGGCAAAGACGACATTCTGGAAAAAACAACCGCCCCAATCCGTGATCGCAAATGCTTGACATTGATGCGCGGCGCGGAAAGCGATAACCACAATTTGACAACAGGTCGCCCCCAACCCGTGAAACTCTTGCAAATGTTTGTAAATATTGCGCGCAACGCAAAAACGATAACCAACTTTTGAAAACCACCCGCCCTTCATTTGTGAAACGGTTGTCACAGTTGAAGCGCCTGGGTCATACATGGTGAAGACGCCTCAAGCGAAACGCCCGGACCACCCTGCAAACTGGCCTCGGGGTGCGACAGGGGGAAGCTGTTAAAGTGAAATAGAACTGTGGAAGAGGAGGACGAGGAGGAGGAGGAGGAGGAGGGGGAATGGTAGTGGGGGGGAGGATGAGGAGGAAGAGGAGGAGGGGGAGGAGGAGGACAAGGAGAAGGAGGAGGAGGAAGAGGAGGAGGAGAAGGAATGAATGAAGGACTGTCCGTTGCGAGCCACTGTCCGTTGTGAATGCCAGTGAAGCACCTGCTTACAAAAAGCCCACAATGTGGGATTCACGGGGGCCGCCGACGACGCGATAGCGGCGAACGGGACAGGGGGACCAAAAGCAGGGCTGACGGGGGACCGACGGGCAAGCCGAAGGACCGAGGGCCACGAAAGGGGAGGACGAACAAAGGAGCGGGGACAAGCAGACATCCGAAGGCTCTCGGCTGCGACGCAATCGCCTACCAGCGGCTACCGCTGGAAGGACGGCCTCCTCTGGCCGATGGCGGGACAGCAGAGGGGGACGCCAAACTGCCCGCCTGCGGCACCATCCTTCCTGAAAGGGAGCGAGCGAAAATGCAGCGGTGCAGTCGAGAGAACGATAGCACCAAGCATAAGATGAAAGACGGCAGGTGGATGGACAGAGACGTGCCAATCCACCCACCAATACTGGCCCAATCAATGACCGAGCCTTCGCGAGCCAGAGCGCCCGCAAAAGCGGTGTCAAAAGAGAGGGGGGGAAAAATAGCAGGGAACGGGGCAGGAGATAGTGAGCTAGGTCGCAACGCTGCTCACTTGCAACTCGGTCCTCCTCTGCGATCGGGTTGGGGTTGGGGATGCAGGAGCCTTCTGGAGACACTAGGAGCGGGCTGGAGTGGAATCGTCTGCGTTTTCGCTTCCACGCCACGAGCCTGTGAGCAACGCTGTTGACGTTCATTCATGGAAATTGCAACAGCTGGATCTTACTCGCCACGCTGATGCAACAAAATACTTCGCTGCCCATTTGAACGTCCCAATATGGGGTGCGGACGTCTCTACTGCAGTCTTACTGGCACACTGCCTGAGAGTTGGTCACAGCAGACTATTTCAGCCATCCGCTCAAAGCCATTCGCTTCAATTAGTCGCACAGGTGGCAGGAACAAAACTCATTTTTGCTGTCTGAGCCCGCCCTCTTCGCTTGTGCCGTCCTGTC